AGGATTGGTCGGGTTAGCAGACATTTAACTGTGCGTAAATTGATTGATAACTTTAATAAGGGTCTAGGAACATCCATTTCCATCAAAACAATACGTAACAAGCTATGAGAAATCAATTCTGGTAAGCGTGCCTCCTTCCTAAACCATTCCTCTCTCTCTCTCAAAAATAGAAACAAACGTCTCCAGTGGCGTTTCGATCATTGGTATTGAATTGTTTTCCAATGTAAATATGTAATTCGATCAGATAAATTATGCTTTACAATAACGGTAGGATTAAATGTTGTGACAATTATTGAAGTCAGAGGACCTTCTTACATACTCTCTACTATACAAGGTTCTGGAGGTGGTGTAATATTGTGAGACTAATTTACATGGCATGGGCTAGGTCCCCTGGTTCCTCTGAATGGTCATATTTCTACTCACGAACATTTGGCCACCCTATCTGGCTTCGTGCGTCTTATAATGTCCTATCTTTACTCAAACAAAGATGGTTTACTTATTTCACAAGCCACAGACCTAAAATCGTTCTGATTCATTCAGTGAGCATGATATATTCTTTCAACATCTACTCTGGCTTGCATGTTTCCCTGATCTCAACCAAAGCGAGATCCTATGAGACGTTTAACAACGAGCTATCAGAAGACATAGTCAACTACCATAAACTTTACCAAAATTGAATCACTATTGGTTAAGGAATGGTCAAAATTGAAGGAGATATCTTCCAGACATTAATGGATTCAATGCCACGTCGCATCTAGACTGTAATGAAGGCATATGGTGGCATGCAACATGTTGCTAGGTTGGGTTTTCTAATATTTTGGCCAGCGAATGTATACAGCCACAATTACCAAATATATGCGTTTTCAGTTACTAAGTGTATTTACAAGGATTTGTTTGCAGTCAAAAATATGGAAGATTTTTGTTGTTGTTTCTTGGGGTTTGTACCCTACAGATGTAGAGTAATTACTCTTGAAAGTTTAAACGTTTACCAGGATAAATGACTATAGTACTGTGTTAAGTTGTACTCCTTACTCTAATTCAACATTGGGAAACGGAATCAGTAGGATGTAAAAATAGGACAAAAGAAGTCTTGAAGAAAACACAAACATCTAATGAGTTTTGTTCCCAGGTGACTAAATTATGAGACTCAAAGCTTATAGCCCTAAAACTCATGGTTCGATCCCCGTGGCATACACAGCGCAGATAGTACATAGTGCAGATATGTGCTAAAACAGAAACAAACAAATTGAAGAGTGTTTCACAGCAGAAAACAATTTCATTTGTAAAACATGAGTTCATGTTTGAGATTTCCAACAGAAATATCCCCCTTCCATGTGAAGGGGTATTTAATGGAAAGTTTTGCCCTTCAGATTATACTGTGATGTATGTCTGCGTATTTCCATTCAACATCAAAAACACGATCTAAACCACTGCACAATATTATAAAAAATGCTATTCAGAAACAACATATTTTAAACATACATTGTGAAACTTCGCAATTATATATAAATTATAATATCTAATATGTAAAGCACTGAAGCATCCTAGTAAGAATTAGGCTTTCTACTGCTTCGACTTGACAAAGTCTTATCTTTTAAATAGCTAAAATGTTCAGGAATTGTGTTGTTTTTTCTTTCGGTATTTCCTAGCTCAGAAGCTAACACAGTAGCGTAAACTTTTTGTATGTTCACTTTAAGTATAATCAACGTTGGATGTTTGTAATGTTTGTGCGATTGCGTATAAGATTAATCATTAATTAATCCGGGTACAACCGCACGACAACTCTGCTGTACCTAAACCTCGTGAACCTGTTCAGTTTATTGGCTGCTGTAAACACGCTTTCTCTCTGTCACACCTTCACCTTTTGAGATTTTTCTGTGTTGATAAGTACGCTATTTTACTTTTTCTATAACAAAAATTCTTAGAAATGTCCAGTGATTTTCTTTCGGTAATCTATAATTCAAACATGTGCTCAGTTTTTCATTCTCTTTTGTTGCGGTTAACATTTTATATTTCCGAAATGGATCTTTGAATGGAAATACAGAAACTATTCACTATTAATACTGCTGGAAAATAGATAGATAGATAATGATTTAATTCACATGCTGCTATGGTAATTTTGAAACCTAGGACTGGAATGTATGTTGTGTTCTTTGGTCTCCAGCTAGTGACGAGAATATTGTCATTTAGAACAACCACTGGTTATCATGAATGAGCATTACTGAAACACTGTATAAAATTTCAAAGTTCCGGATATTTTTCGATAATCAGAACCAAATTATCTTTTATGGTTAAATTCTAGGACAATTATTCATAGATTATACATTTGAGCTTTTTCACTCAGAAATACGTTTTTATCACAAATACTGTGCCCAAGAGTAGCATTGAAGAACACATTACTTAATACTGTACGGATCTCCACTGTAGGGAGACCTAATTGACAGTATTGAATTTATTTTCTGACCATTCGTGTAGAACGTATTAAGCACACTATTTCTTTCCCAGTCTTACGAGAAATGAAAAAATAAATGTTATTATTAACAGCTATGTGTGTACGTGCGTGCAGGAACAAAAACAAAATATATTGCTCATTTGTTGTCTTGTTTTGGAATTTGAAGCTGAACAGATTTGACATGCCACATCAACACAGACAGTGATTTATTATGCAAGGTGGTTACTGATGGTCAGCGTCGTTTGTCCTGTCTAAGTTCCAGGACATCATAAAAGTGATACTGGCCATCTTTCCTGAACTCCACTTCCTCCCAATGTCAGCCACCCGTGGTACATGGGTGGCTATATATTTTAAACCTACTGCAAAAGCTAGCCACAGCTATTGTCCATCTGGTTTCGATTTCACGACGGCTCCTCCTGTAGGTCGTTTATCACCCGTCCAAAGATTGACACTTTACAAGTACAACTGATACAGTTTGGTTTGAAAAGACTTTGTCAGTGGATTTAGAGAGATGACTAAGAAATTGGAAGCCCTGTAAACACGTGCATTTGTTTAGGGAAAGATTGTAACGCCTTAAGCTGAAACTCAAAACTACCTTAAACAGAAGAACCCCAAGCAAATTCCTAGAGAGTGTGATGCCGCTCTTTCTTAGCTAAAGTTACACTTTTGTACGGTTTATTATGAGAACGATATATTGTTTTTGATACTAATTGTTTACATAAAACTTTATTCGACTGTCAGTATGTACAGTTTAACAAAGTTTACACTCGCTCCTTTTTTAATTTTTTTTCACTTGGTGAAAGTTATCTGTAGTATTATTTTCAATACGGCTATTAATACCCATTATATTTAGCTTTATTTTCTCTAGATTGTTAAAACGTTAAAATGACTTTTACACTTCATGTGTATGCTTGTCAATATTGATGTCTTCAGGCAGATTACATCAGCCATGTAGAATATATTTCATAATCTACATAATACATTGGTGAATCCAAAAAATAAGATGTCGCTTAATATACATTAAAGTAAAACAAATATTTACGCTAAATTTAAAAAGCTACCACTTTTCATTGTCAGCTATTAGGCGGGAAAATGTGAAAAACTACCAGGTGCAAAACTTTTTTCTTTACTAGGTTATAAGGCATTATTAATGGCATTTACTATTAAGGGCATTGGGCAAAGATATATACAATAAAGCAAAAGTTTGCCTTGTTGCTTAACTACATTTTCGTCACAATAATCGGGAAAGGAAAAAATCCTTAAAGCTACAGTTACAGAACTACCCACACATAATCATGAGGAGCAATTAATTTATTTTACATTACCCAATAATAATGACGACTGTCCATTAAGTGCTGGAAGTATTAATGGGATTTTACATTGTCAGAAGACAAGTCCAGTGTTTGCATCAAGTCAAGGTGATTATGCTTAAAAGTAAGTATATCTTGTATGCTTTATGATAAGTCACACCCTTATCTTTCAGATCGACGTTTTCACACAAAAGAAATTTGAGCTTAAAGTTAGCTTTAACAGAATTTATTTTAGCTGACTGCTAAAACTTGTTGTAAAAGGAAGTATTAATTTTCACACAACTAGTCGTCATATTCAAATGGCATCAGCGTGGATAACATACAAAGAGAATCTTAATTTTCACAGAATGACTCATCATGTTTATGGGCATTGACGTGCAGAGCATACAAAGAGATTGTTAGTTTTCAAAGAATGATTTGTCATTCTTAAGAGCACTATCATGGATAGCATACAAAGAGATTCTTAGTTTTCACAAAATTATTCATCATGTTAACGTGCCACTAACATGAAGAGTATAAAAAATAGAATCTTAATTTTCACAGAATGACTCATCATGTTTACGGGCACTAACGTGGAGAACATACAAAGATATTATTAGTTTTCAAAGAATGATTTATCGTGTTTACGAGCACTAACGTAGAGAGCATACAAACTGATTCTTAGTTTTCACGGAATGACTCACAATGTTTACGAGCACTAAGGTGTAGAGCATACAAAGAGAATCTTAGTTTTTTATAGAATGATTCATCATGTTAACGTGCCACTAATATAAAGAACAAAAGTATAGAATCTTGGTTTTTACAGAATGATTCATCATGTTTACGGGCGCTAACGTGGAAAAAATGCAAAAACAAATCTTATTTTGTCAGACATGTTTGACAGTAGTAGGACTTTGCGTGTGATCTTTTCATTTAATCTTCTCCAATTTTTAGCTGTTGTTAATAATTCTAGTTTCAGAAAAGCGAGATTTTTATACGTTGTTAGCTATCTTAGAATCTTATTCTATAGGATCAAGTAAATTATTTATACAATAGTCGAGCAAATAGGTGTTAATTTTGTTTTCCAACGGGAAACTTTCTATAGAGAAGAAAAATTATCTAAATTCAAATCATAATTTGTATAATGCATTTCCCTTTTGTCATAAATATGGCCTTACTTTGTATGATTTTTTCTGATATTTATAGTGGGTTTGCTGCGTGCATCTGTTTGGAAAACAAACAAATCAAAAGTATACTAGTTTTGGTTAAAACAATTTTTTATTGCGAACAAGTCGAATAGTTGATTCTCCAATCAATTCGAAGGAGCTGCACAGTTCGTGGATATACTGGTATAATTCTTGTAATCATAAACGGTTTCTAAAACACTCTTAAATAAACATGAATAAAACAGAATTATTACACGTGAGAGTATTAATATACAAACTTAAAAAAAAAACTAGATTTTTTTGATTGTATGAACATCCTTGTATTTTATTGTCCTATAATTTGTAATCTGAATTGTTTACACTGAGAAACATTCCGTTTACGTCGTGATAAATATAAGTTTAAACATCACAATATATGATACAATAATCCACCGGGATGATATCGTTATTATATAGTATATATCGTAATGGTGGCTGATTAAATGACAGAGTTTACTATGATCTTCATGTTTCTCACTTTCTTTCAGTATTTTGTCATCTCAGTTTTCATAGAGATTTTATTATGCTCTAAATGATACCTTTAACTGTAATTTTCGTTAGAACAAATATATTATTAATCCTTACAACACCTTTTAAAGATAAATATATACGTTCTCTTCTTTTTTCTAGAGAAGACTTAACATTTGGTTGTGGTCAAACAAACATTTATAGAAAGGAAAAAAAATATTAAGCTTTGTCTTCGGTTACAATACCAACTGTGTATGAATTTGCCTTTCACGTTATTTTTCCGGAATGCTTGTAACTACCAGTCTTCTTTTATATACAAATTAAACACAACAGTTTCACTAAAGCTGTACTAATCTTATATCTTACACTGGTCACGAAGGGTACAGACCATTATATCTTTGAGTACTTTGGTAACCAGGATAATGAACCGCAGGCCTGGAGTATGGAGAATTGTTATTCTTCATTTGATACATGTAATTGTCATAGACAGGACCATAGTTACAAACATCATCTGCATATGGCTGCCCAACAGGACATCCCCCTTGGTCCCCACGGGGTAGTTGTGAAGGTACATGAAGTCCTCCAGTAAGCTGTATGCTGGATCCGATAACCCGAGATAAAAGACTTCCACCGGACAATTCGTCGTTTTGGTCTTCTGTGGAGGAAGAAAAGATCTGATGTAATAACTTACTGATTTATAAAAATATCATTGGAGAATAATGTGAGAACGTGACAACAGAGATTTTACTAGTTAGGTTATGCAAAATATCTATATTCAAGAGATTATTTAACTATAACAATATAGTTTTTTACTTTTTTAGAAACTAATGTAAAAAAGTAAAAAATAAATCCTGTTCTAAAGGTAACCTACTCTCTTATAGTATATGCATATATAGTAAGAGAGTAGGTTACCTTTAGAACAGGATTTAGTTTTTACTTTTTTACATTAGTTTCTAAAAAAGTAAAAAA